CACACACACACACACACACACACACACACACACACACACACACACACACACACACACACACACACACACACACACACACACACACAGTCACACACACACAGACACACAGTCACACTCACACACACACACACACACACATGAGGCGGCTCCAGTTTTTTCTCCTTTTTAGGGAAAACATCAACTTGCTGAAATCAGTTTGGGGTCATAAAAGACCAAAGAGGATGAGGAGCAGGACAGGAGGACGGGAGGAGGAGCGACGTTTTCTTGAAGCAGAGATGACTGATCAGCAGTTGGTTTGAGCGTCGGCTGATGTGGGCGACCTTTAAAAAGGCGCTCCTCTTCCTCGCCGCTGTCAGTAAAAATGGAGGACGACGTCTCTGACAGCGGCAGATCAGTACTGTGTGAACGTGGACATATTTCACGTAGCGCTGTGGTTCTTCTGTGGTGCTGTTTCCGGGTCTGTGACCAGCTGGGTCGCCCCCACAGCTTCCTGTTTCACTCGCTGCCTGTATTGATCGTCCTCGATGTCGTGTGATGGATCAGCCAGCTGGTTTCCATCTTTTTCCAGTTTTTTGTAGTTTTGTTTTTTGCCTCCTACGTTAAAACGCTTGGATTGTGCCTCAGCTGCGTTCAGGTGTCCTGCCATCCTGCGGACATTCGGATCATACCTCGTGCTCTGGGCACTTTTTTCTTACAAGCACAACAACAAACTCCTTAATCTGGTGTTGAGGCTGCAGCACCGCTGCACTGTGACCAGCTGAGGCCTGTCAGCAGCTCTCAGCTTTACCTGGTTGTGATGTTTCGTGCTCTGATAATTCACCCACAGCAGACTGCGGCTCCTTCAGCCTCTCGGAGGTTTGATGCTTGGTTTCGTGTCACACGACAGGCCCGTCTGCGGCTCTGGGCCGGGCCGACAGACAGCAGCTCTCTGATGTTCTGCACACAGAACACAGAAGCAAAAGTCCTTCCTCAATAATTACATTTATCTCACACCAAATCAAACTGTTTGCTATCCCACTCTGATCTGTGAGGTGAAAGGCAGACAGTCCTCCAACCGGCTCAGTGGGGCGGCGGCCATCTGTCACCACGACAACAACAAACACGGTGACTCAACCTGCTGATCAAACACAGCTCAGAGCCAGAAATACCTGCAGGACGCCGCAGAGAGAAGGACCCACAAACACTGGTGTTTTATTACAGGGCTGGGACGGAGGCCAGGAAGTAGACGTCCCCACACCTCGGAGCAAAACCCACAGTGGGTCTAATATTGAATCCAGCCCCCACAGCGGGGATCACAGGCTCAGCAGGAAGTCAACAGCACCTCCGAGGCATAAACTCTCACCATGATGTCACCCGCCGGCTCTGGAAGCCTTGCTTTTAGCATCGGGGAGGGTCTGTTAGTACAGTAACCTCCCAGCGGCCATATTACTGGTCACATGATGAAACTAAAAAAGCTCCAGTAGCACAAACAGCCCAGAGATCCAGGTCAGGTGAAGCTAGCAAACAGCAAGCAACTATAGCCACCTGTGTCACCGTCCACCTGCCAGGCAGAGAGGCCACGCCCCTAATCATGCAAACTTTATGTCCTAATACGATTTAAACAGGTGGAAGGTGGAAACGATCTGCAGGAACCAGTTTGTATGTCAGGCTGCAAACGACGGGGCTGCCGGAGCCTCTGCTGGAGCCTCTGCTGGACGTTAGAGGAACTGCAGCTGTTTGTGTATCAGCATTTAAACCTGAGCTGTTGTTTAAGTCAAAGGTCTCAGTTAGTGGTTATTGATCTCCCAGTAGTACTGCGAGCCTGAGTATTAGAGCAGATCAACATTCAAGTCGAGCTCGGCGATATTTAAACTCATATGAGTCATCGGAGCGTCCAGATGACTGAAGGTGACTCAGCGAGATTCACATGCCGTCACATGACGAGTCATCAGGCTCTGTGTTTAGATCAACAATCCCAGCATGCACTATGATGGCAGCACCCCAAAAAGCTTAAACCAAGTCAAGCTGGTCTTCATGGGGGCACCTGATGCAACCATGGCAACCACGGCGAGCAGATAAGCAGCGTTGCCTGAAGGTGAAGAAAACTGATGGTGTCCTGGTCGGGTGGTGCAGCTGAATACAGCGTGGAGGCTGCTCTGTGTTTGCACTCAACACTCCTGCTCTGTGACAGATGATGGTAATGATGAAGTACAGCACACACACAGACACACACACACACACACACGCCTCTGTGTGTGTGTGTCTGTGTGTGTGGTCTGTGTGTGTGTGTGTGTGTGTGTGTGTCTGTGTGTGTGTGTGTGTGTGTGTGTGTGTGTGTGTGTCTGTGTGTGTGTGCTGTGTGTGTCGTGTCTGTGTGTGTGTGTGTGTTTGTGTGTGTGTGTGTGTGTGTTGTGTGTGTGTGTGTGTTGTGTGTGTGTGTGTCTGTGTGTGTGTGTGTGTGTGTGTGTCTGTGTGTGTGTGTGTCTGTGTGTGTGTCTGTGTGTGTGTGCTGTGTGTTGTGTGTGTGTGTGTGTGTGTGTGTGTGTGTGCATGTGTGTGTGTCCATGTCCAGGGTGTGGATGTTAATGTGTCCAGGTGTGTTTTGTGTAACGCGTCACATCATAGATGACGCACCTGTGCTGTGATCACCTGTGCAGAGGCTCCGCCCTATAAGCGCGGCACAGTCACAGGTGACGGCTGTGATGATTGGCTGTGTAGACGAGCAGCTGCGTGTGCAGAAATATGGAAAACGTCTGTTCTGTTTACAAACAGTGAAACAATAAATGCAGCTGAAATGAAAATGAAAACGTTTCCTCACACATCGACCTCGGCACCAATCAGAGCTCGGCATAATTCCTGTAGAATCTTTTCAAAGTAAAAGCATTTTACATTAGTTTCTGAAAGAGTTTACACTCTTGTTTTGAAAAACAATCCCTGAGGTTTGCGTTCTATCACCAGGTGGCGCCATCTGTGGCTGCAAAAACACAACATGGTCCTCTGACCTTTGACCTCTGTAAGGACTTTCCTGCTGATCTGTGGGCCAGCCACTCGTTTCAGCGTTTTTGACCCACTGCTCCCCGTCACCACAGTTTTTGTTACGTAAACCAACGGTGACCCCAGAGAGCGTCCACAGGTCAGCAGGTCACCAGTCACAGCGCGAGCACTGATCACAGGTGAGGCTGCTGGACACCAAACAGGAGCATCAGTGACTTTTAACTATAAGTAATAAATATAAATAACGAAGCCCTGAGGTCATTCCAGGTGATTTAAGCCCACCCACACTGTGACCCGTGTGACCAGTGATCACATGGTGACCTGCTCCCACTGATGGCTTAAGACTTTTAGAGCTGAAGAAGCCTTTTGGGTGAGAGCAAAGGAGTTACCGCTCAGCCTTCTGCTGCCGCGATGCAGCTTGAAGGTTTTCCTAACAGCGAACACATTTCTCACCTTTCCTCTCACCTGTTGGGTGGTGTGGCTGCTGGACCAATCACAGCTCCGTTTGTCTTGAATAGAAACTTTATTGTGACGCTGGCGTGCTCTGACGATGGCGCCGCCGGGTCGGCTCACTCGTGCTTCTTCCTGTGTTTCAGCAAACAGGAGCTCCTCGCCATCTCCAATGTTCCTGTGGCTGACGCCCCCCCCTCTCCGCCCCGCACCGCACCCCCCACCATGAAGGTAACAAGCCATTTATTTTCATCTGCACATTTCATGAACTTTGCTTTCACATCGCTTTCAGTTTCAATGAGCTGCAGGAATCAGAAACATTGTTTTTGTTTATTTATGTTTTTAACAACTTTTATTCAGACGGAGTCACCGTCTCACCACAACAGCAGGTCCTTGTAATGTTGCCTCTGTGCACCACCACAGTGAAGGTGGATGAGGTCAGCCATCCAAAGAGAAGGCAGAGCAGGCAGGGTGGAGTGGGTGGAGATGAGCAGCGAAAGGTCTAAAGATGGCAGTGAGAGCTGCTGTGCTGGAGGGTTGGTGGGCCTCACTTTAATCACAGAAAAGCTGCTGACCTGAGATCAGCTCTTTTCTTTATGGTGAGAAACTCCTGAGAAGCTTCTCAGCCTCCATCTGCGCTGTGACGCTCCGTGTGACGGAGCAGAGGCTACAGCCCGCTTCACCCAGGAACACCAGCCCTCTGCAGCCGTACAGGCTCGACAGACAGATGATGGGATCTTTTCTCCTCATCAGTCTGCTCCAGCTTCATCCTGGTTTCATCTTTCAGACCTGTGCAGATGTTCCTGAGTGTAACCAGAGGTTTGCACCTTCTGTCTGACCTGAGTCTTCCTGACCTGGTCAGACGGGTGAAGCTGTTTTCCATCAGCATGGATCTGACACATCTGTGGGAGTGTTACACACAGCCCTCAGGAAGAGTGCTGACAGATAAGAGCTAATCTCTTTACCCTCTTTGGAGGTCATATGAGGAATTTCAGTGAACAGCAACAAGTTCAGCACTCTGATGATGTTTTACCTGCCTGCCTTCAACCGTCAATGCAACACTTTAATTAAATGCTTCAAATTAAAGCTGAAGGCCAGTCACACCTGGATGGATCCACTGTGGGGTGTACAGAGCCAACATTTCCACAAACTTATGAACTGTTAGGTCATTCAGGCCACATGGAGCTGAACAGGAACCTCAGCAGGTTCAAATAAACCAGAAAAATCCTCAGAAATGAACTTTTAACCGTAAATGATCCAACAGACACAAATAAACAGCTTTGACCCCGTTTGTGTGTCTGCAGTCGGCTCATTTCTTTGACATGATGGACAAGATGGAGGTAAGAGTGTGTGTGTGTGTGTGTGTGTGTGTGTGTGTGTGTGTGTGTGTGTGTGTGTGTGTGTGTGGTGCGTGTGTGTGTGTGTGTGTGTGTGTGTGTGTGGGTGTGTGTGTTGTGTGTGCGTGTGTGCGTGTGTGTGTGTGTGTGTGTGTGTGTGTGTGTGTGTGTGTGTGTGTGTGTGTGTGTGTGTGTGTGTTGTGTGTCTGTGTGTGTGCGTGTGTGTGCGTGTGTGTTGTGTGTGTGTGTGTGGTGTGTGTCGTGTTGTGTGTGTGCGCGTGTGTGCGTGTCGTGTGTGCGTGTGTGTGTGTGCTGTGTGTGAGTGTGTGTGAGTGCGTGTGTGCGTGTGTGTGTGTGCGTGCGTGTTTTTTAAGACTTTTCTTCAAAATGAATTCTCTCCTTATCCGGAGCAGCTTCTCCGACAAACAACAGGCTTCATGCAATATTCATTTAGCTTCCAGCAGAACAAAACCAGGTTTCAGCCTTTAAATCAGGTACAAACATGACACAACGACGCTGCGGCGTTTCATCCGTCACTTTGGATCTTTGTAATATCTCTGGACACGCGACACATCTAAGGCGTGTTATTTCCCCTTCTTTCTTTCTTTTATATGTTTTATCCTGTTTTATGCTTCTTGTTCTCTCTGGATGTGCTCCTGTTACACCTGCACCTCTACGTCTCATCGCACATCATCATCGTAGCCCTGAACAGGGAAATAAGTTGGATTTTTCCTGCTTGTTTCCTCAGATAAGTAACCCGGTGACTGATGACAAACAGCGGCAGGGTTTAAGTAAAAACAACCGGAGAATCAGCAGATTCTGAACTAGACAACAGCAACACGTAACACTCTCTTTATTTATTAAACACAATAAATCCTTCAGCAGCGAGGGTTTCTGTGTGTCTCCCACTGTGGAGGATCTGTGGGCCACTCGCCTTCACAGCGTTGCTTCAGCTCGTTGAGGTTTCATTCAGCCATGCACAGAGAGCGAGCTGTGCATGCACAGAGAGCGAGCTGTGCATGCACAGAGAGCGAGCTGTGCATGCACAGAGAGCGAGCTGTGCATGCACAGAGAGCTGTGCATGCACAGAGAGCTGTGCATGCACAGAGAGCTGTGCATGCACAGAGAGCTGCATGGCTGTGTGTGGATCTGTGACCTGCTGATGACCCAGTTTGGTCCAGCTGTGGGACAGACGTCCACAGCCTGACTCTGAACACTTTGGTTCATCACCGCTGCATGTGTTAGTTTTTTGATTTTGAACAAACTCTTTGGTCTCGCTTTGTTCCAGAAGTCTTTGATCAGCTGTAGCTTTGCAAACTTTGACCTTTGACCTGCTAACTGAGGCCTATAGAGGTGGAGCTGTTGGGACCTCAGGTGAAAGGTGTCGTTGTGTTAACACATCTGAATGCTGCAGAGCTACAAACCTCTGAGTCGATCACGCTCCTGTTTACCCAACAGCTCAGTGTTTCTTCACTTTGGTTGTGTTTTGGTTGAATAAATAATCAAAAAGATTTTTATTATGTCCTGATATGTAAAACATTAACACACCATTGCTAATTATTAAATAACAGAAATTAATTTTTAACATATTTTTTGTGAAGTAAAGAAATTTGTCTTTTTTTTTGTTTGTTTACTTTTTCTTTAATTTTGTGAAATTTGTTTGTCAGAGTCAGAAAAACTCTTCAGCTGATGTTTGTGTGGTTAAAGCTCATCTTTATCAAAGCTTCACATTAATCCTGTTAGCCTCACAAAAGCTCTAAAAATCCACCAGTGGCTGAAATGTTGCTCCATCAGTGCACATATAATCCACCAAATCTGCATTAATCCGCAGCTGAAAGTAGTTCTATGTAAACACACTGTTTCCTCCCATATTAGCGAGCTGTTTCTTATTTTAATGAATCAGACTGAACCTCTGTGAGCTGTTTTACAGCTTCACGTGTTCAGTCTTCATCACGTCTCTCTCCCCGTCTCTGCTGCAGCAGGTGCCAGAAGCTGCAGAGATGAAGACAATCCCTCAGAGACAGAAGGCACGTCTGTCCATCTGTCTGTTTGTCCTCATATCCACCCGCGCTCACTTTTACGGCTTCATTTCATTCATGCTCATAAAGATAACCTGGGGAAGTCCAACCTTCAGCAGGTGTGAGAGCCTGATCGAAGTTTCATCACCCGACTCAGCTGAGAACAAACTGTACTTAAAAGATGGAAATGACCACTGTGATTGTTACAGACTGTATATAAAAGATGGACGTGATCAGCGTGGTTTTCACATGTTGGAATAAGGGCGGAGTGCTAATGCTAGCAGCTAGCTGTGGTGGTTCTACAGTGTGATGATGATCACGTCTGCGTTACACACAGGAGGACCATGTGACAAACACGCTGACGAGTTTATCTTAGCTGCACTCGGGTTTGTTTCCTGGAGTGGCAGCACAAAACAAAAGCTAGCCGGGTGCAGTGATGGCGGCTGTGGTCGACCGCGGTGAACGCTGAGGCTGTGAGCTCCTCGTTGTGTCTCAGTGATTGTTTTGAATAAACGTCCTGCTCAGCGTCATCCCTCCTGTGGTCGCCTGCATGTCTGCATCATTCCACTTCATGCATCTGTGTTCATGTTTAAGCTTTTTCACTGTAAGTCCATCTCATGGATATTTTTTATGTTCATGACTTCAAACATAAAAACAGCACATTTACATAAGTAAAGTCAGTCAGTGATGAAAGGACAGCTTTGATTCCTCGTGTGTCCAACACATGTTTGACGTCTCCGTCTTTCTGTTTCAGGACGACTACATTCCTTATCCGAGGATCGAGGAGGTGAGACCGATGTTAACACAGCTCAAAACACAAAGCTGAACATTACTGCTAATTGTTTTTTTCAAAAAGGAGGCATAACAGGAAGTCAGATCAGGGGTGCGTCAGCCAATAAGAGGAGAGGAAAGTTTTATTATAGTAATTTTGTTCATACTGACAGCAGCTAACAATCTTGGGGGTGGGGGGGGGGGAGACTAGATTCTCCACTGGACCGCCTCCATATGACTCAAACTCTCACTTTCCTCTGATTTGCCGGCTGCAGGAAGCCTGCTGAGGGGTGAGGTGTGTGCTTTTGTTTCACACCTGTCTGAATGTGTGTTGCAGGTGTTGGAGAGGGGGGGGCCGTACCCTCAGGTGATCCTACCTGAGTTTGGAGGCTACTGGATCGAGGATCCTGATGCTCCTCCTCCCTCTGCAGCCAGCAGGGGGAAGGAGGAGGTGGAGGAGGAAGGAAGACAAGAGGAAGAGACCGCCCCAGGGAATTATGGGTACCATCTGGAGGAGATCAACGAGGCTGCTCGGGCGTACAGGAAGCACTTCTTGGGCAGGGTGAGGTTTGATTAAATCCATCTTCATCCTTTGCTGTCACCTGATTGGTTGACGTCCTTCTCTTTTGTTGTCAGGAGCATTTAAACTTCTCGTGCTCATCGAGCAGCGTGGGAAACCTGCTGCTGTCTGTGAGACACGAGCAGGAGAAGGAGCACGAGCACCTCCTCGTCATCATCAGGTAACATGACAGGCTTTCATGGCAAGGGACTACAGACTGTAAAGAAAAGATGGGAAACCCTGCTTTCTTTCTAATGTTCAATCAATCAGAACTTTATTCATCACATGAAAGTTGCCCTGCAGTGAAATGGGTCTGGGCCCAGACCCGCCGTGTCCTCCAGGAGGGAACAAACATCGAAGGCGTTTGGAAAGGGAGGAGGGATGAGTGCTTATCAGTGTATGTGTGTGTGCGTGTCCAGAGTTCAGCTGAGACAGTGTCCTTCGCCCTGCCAGGCTAAGTAAACAGTCTTCCAGCCAACCCAGGTGGGCTTGCATGGAATGGGAAGAACAGACTAAACAGTCGTTATCAGGGAGTTGTTGTTCAGCTCCAGCCTTGAGCCCACAGCTGGTGCCGAAGGGATAGCCGCATTATGATGGTGGTTTTTACTTTAGTGCGAACAGCTCATGAGAATTTCAAAGCAGTTCTAACAGTCCAACACTGGTCTCTCAATCTCCCGTTGGAGAGCCGCGAGCTTCTCCATGATGTTATCAAACTTGTGCTCCGTGATGTTGTCAGTCTTGTGCTCAAAGAGCCGATTCTGAGAACTCACGATCACAGTGAGCTGCTCCAAGATGTGATCCAATGTACGCTCAGAGGTCTTATTCTGAGTGTTCACAGCAGCCGTAAGCTTCTCCAAGCTCTTAACCATGCTGCACTCAGTGAGCCCATGTTGAGAAGCCGCACCTCGTCCCATCGTTTCAATCCCAGCGGGCAGCCTTGTGGGGATTTGAACAGCCGGTTCCGCTTTCTTAATTCTCCGATAAGTCAGGGCCAAGCCAGCTCCGATCAGCCAGAACCCTGTTATCATGGTTCATAGGTAGATATCTTCAGCACTCAGGCTCACCCGAGCCCAGACTTCTCGTTGAGAAAAGGGTGTCAATAGCGTTCAGAGACCAGTTGATCAAATCCATAATTCTCTTTAGGTTTTAGAAACAGACTGTGAGAGTGTTCCAGGGAAAGTAATACAAACGAGACAAGACAAGGACATAGAGGCTAAGCAGGGAAGATAAGGGAGAGGAGGAGAGGAGAAAAGTACGACCGCCTTCGCCAAGAGCCAGCCTTCACAATCAATGTTTGAGTCCATGGTGGATGGGAAAAGAACAAATGAAAGGAACCTTCAAAATTAAACAGGAAATAATCTCACACAGACAAAATGAAAAGGGAACAGAGATCATCATGGAGGCCATGACCGGTGTGTTTACCCCAAACAGCTCTGTCCTCTGAGTTTAAGCTCTCTGATGATGAACATGAGCTGATAAAAGCCCAAATGAGCTCAGTGTGAGCTAAAATAATCAGGTTCTAAAACCAGAGTTTGACTCAGTCCACCTACGAGGCTGCTGCTCTCAGATGAGTCAGATCCCGTGTGGAGCAGATCTTCTATAAATTGACCACACTACCCGAAGAAGAACAGCAGCCGACTGAAGTCTGTATGAGCAGGCAGCTGGGACCGATGGCCAACCACCTCGAGTTCAATTTAATTAAGATTTCATGTTGAAATAGTTCTTTGTTAATGCACCCTTCACAAAGTCAGCCACCTCTCCTCTTGAGTCTTCAGGACTGCTCTCTAAGATCTAAAGTGCTCGAGTCAAAGGAAGCTCTTTGGGTCATTAAGGTCACACAGGAGGCAGGTGATAGGGTGGGGCTCATAAACATGTCAGGATCTGGTCTTTTGCCACTGATGGCTCATGTAAGCTACTACAAATATCTCGCCCTACTTGAGTCGGCTCATGGCAGGTGTTCGGTAGGCCAGGTGTTACCCAGATATTACGATACACCTGACATCTGGCCCAGATGTGGTGGAGCTCTGGCTGAGTAGAGGGAGCAAGACTTGAGTCATCTCCCTCGGTCAAGGCCGATTATGGTCCAAAGAAAACTGCAGATGTGATCCACACGTGGGTCAAACCTTTATCGCTACCTGGTGTCCAGGTGTGACTCGGTTGAGCCTGAGAGATTATTCCAGCTGTGGATCGGACTGCTCCTCCTCACGTTTTCTTGTGAGCAAATATTTGTGTTTTGTGGTTTCGAGTGCCTGTGTTCACACAAGTCTGTGTCACAAACTGTCAATGAGTCAGTGTGAGGACAGAACTAGTATTTAGTTACTTATTCTTGGAGTTAAGTTTTGGTTTCTGGTGCGTCTCTCCTGTTTCATTAGATCTCGGGTGAAAAGCGTCTACCACAGATTATCTCTGGCAGAGCTGCCGGACATCCCAAGTGTACCAGAGCTGGCCAAGGTAAGCACCAGCATCTCAGACTGGTTCCATAGTGTAGCGGTCATCACAGCTGCTTTACATGCTGTACCGAGTTCGAGCCCAAGTGGGTCCATGATGTCCTCTATGGTTGAACTCACCCACTTTGGTAGAGGCTGAGACTTTTGAAGGCTCAGCGTTGTTCTAACTGTAACCTCTATGTTTGTCATTGCGAAGCTGCTGTGCGACGAAGCGGCAGGTATACGGTTCAGTCCCGTCCTGTACCCAAAGGTAGGCTCCCACACCGTCAGCACACCTGGGTTTCTGTTCCGTGTCAGAGGAGATGATGCACGTCTGTCTTTGTCTGCAGGCATCTCAGCTAATAGTGAACTATGATGAGCATGAGGTGAACAACACCTACAAGTTTGGAGTCATTTACCAGAGATTTGGTCAGGTACCTCACCACCTGCTCACGCTTTGTGTCCACTCGGTGTTTTTGTTTCCATCTTCCTTCTTTATTCCCACTAGTGGACTGATTTCTAACTGAAGCACGTAGGTTTGTTGATGTTAGTGATCAGTGCACTCCATTAGCTGTTACTGTTTTCCACGGGTTTTACTAAATACGCTGCAACTATCGTATGGACGAAATGAGCTGATTTAGAGGTCCTGGGTGATTTTACATGGTATGACCAAATATATATAAGCTGTAAGCACTCCAGAGGACACTGCAGACCAACCCAGGAAGCTCATAAAGATGTTCGCTCATTCTTAGCGTTGCCTTGTGAAAGAATTTGTATTGTGTTCCAGTATTTTGTTTTGGAGTGCTGGGTCACTGGTACGGCCTGGTTGATGTTATTGATCCTGCTGATTATATCAGCACTTCGTCTGCTGTAAAACCTGTTTCAGCAAATGTTTTCAAACTATGAAAAACACATTAGCCAACATTATTTTTAAAATAATAATCTCAGTGTAGTCCGTCTTTTGTTCTTTGGCATCATTAATAAGCACTTCACATCTGAGAGTAGTTCACCTTCTGTGATGAGTGTATCGGTCGTAGCTGACATGTCACCTGTCCCTCAGGTGTCTGAGGAGGAGCTGTTCAGGAACAACGAGGAAACGCCGGCTTTCACAGAGTTCCTGCAGCTGCTGGGAGACACAGTGGATCTGCAGGACTTCAAAGGGTGAGAGACAAGACAAAACTGCAAATCATCACGTTTAATCAGTTATTTCTATCAGTAACATGTCAGTTGATACCAAAACAGATCCTTTAGTAGCAACTAGGGCTGCCACAAACGATTATTTTGATAGTCGACTAATCAGATCATCATCCATTGGACGTAAAAAGTACAGTTTATTGCACCAGCAGCATCTGCTCTTATATAACTATCATTAGCTTACAGCTTTAAGTGTTTAACTAAAAATAAAGACAAGATGATAGTTTATTAAATGTTAATGACATTTGCAGATTGTTTCGGTGAAGTTTAATAAACTCCTTCTATCTAAAATATAACAGGACACCGGAGTATATTCTCCAGCATCTCACACTTCTGATAATCAGCTGTCTGCTTGACGTTTATTCAGCTGTGTAAAAACTATAACTTTAATCTCAGCCAAACCGATTTACTCAGGAACAAATAAAACACTAAAAAAAGCCAAACAA